TCCAGCTGGCAGGAACCCATTGTGGTGAAATTGTAGATAATTTCTTGGGGCTTAATAATTATCTGAATTATACAGATTTCCAGTTTGTCAAGGCAAATTCCATTTGCCTGTAAGTGTGCTGAATGCAAGAAGACACTATGAGAAAATGCCATTTGGCATGTTTTCCTGGGGTTGCTGCCTTCATACCGGTTCATGATTTGCTTCTGCATTTCCCTGTCCAATTTTAACCTCATATTTTTGACATTTGTATCAATCAGTGCCCTGGAACTGAGTTTTAGAGCAGTGCTAGTGTCTAGTGAATTGGCTAAAAAACCAGCATGTGTTATTCTACTCCACTCATTATAAATTAACCTAAGTGGCTGCTGACTGCTCTATGTGTAGGAAACTGCCTGAGGTAAAATGAAGAACTAAATCTGCATGTATGGGGAGGCCCAAAAGAGAGTATGAAGTGTCGGAAATCAGCTCCATATTTGGCTCCAACCACTGTAGTTATAGCAGGATGTAAATTAATTCCCTAGCCATCTCCTCTAATGCATTTCAGTGTGAAATTCCTAATATGCTATCAATTTTTTATGATGCTATATTTTGAATGTACCCCCTTCTGTATTTTGTCTTCAGTACTTGTTTATCCTGGTTTGTTCAAACATTGGTTTATTCTCAGTGGGTCATTACTACAAAATGTCTTGTTAGGTTAATTTGAGGTTTGTCCCATGTTTGTTGATATCCCTCTATATATTACAGAAAGTGGAAAAAGCATGGGATAAAGGGCATGAATGCTGTACTTGAGTTGATGGAGCTGTCTTCTTACCTCACTAATAAGGTGTCACGGGTACTTTTAGGTCCCATAAATACAGTTCTTTTTCATGATTCCTCTGCAGCTCAAAACATGGAGAGTCAGCAGAAACAACATCAGCAAGCCCAGGTGCAAATAAGAAAAATGAAGCTAGAGTTGTTTTTCATTCTGTTTCGATTCTCTAATGAGTTTAATGCCTATAAAATATAATTCTCGTGGGCCTGAGACTTCCCACACTAGTTCTGCAGTTGAACTGTAATGAAGTCTTGGAAAGAGCATATCACTATGCAATTCGTGACCTGAATTTACCAGAGTTATCCCTATCTTCATCTTCTCAGCATTATGCACTCTACTATGTCTATGAATTTTTACTAATGTCTCCTCTTTGTATCATCTACCTGTTTAGTATGGACTGTTATCTTTGGATGTTTTCTTCCTTTAGTGCTTTGTATCCCAGTCCTCAACTTTCTGCAAATAGCTGGCTAAATATTAAGATACTTAAAGCTTTGTACATTAGATACATAGACGTTAGCAAACCTGGTGGATTTCAAAAAGCCCTTGACTGTCCCACATAAACCTCAGTTGTGATACAAGCAAACCTAAACATCCCACAACTCTGTAAGTCCGTATTAGAGAAAGACATAAATGTGTTTTAAATCTGATGCTTCAACCACTGAGATATGTCCTTTGGTGCCCATGTGCAGAAATAGTTCTCTTTATGGAATATTATGATGTAGTTGTCTTCACCTCTCCTGTAATGCACAGACATTGAAAATGAAAACCTGTATGTGAGAGCAAGGTTTATGGGGTTGAGTGAAATGTGGGAGTCTGAATACGGGAGAGAAGTGAGGTTCTTTTATCAGGGTGGCTATATATGCAGGTATTGTGCATCAGAAAATATATATGTATACGTATTTTTTTTTTGGTTGAGCAAAGTCTGTAAGTCGCTACAGTAACATTTCAGACAAGATCTATTGCCAGGACTCTAGTTAAACTCCAGGACGCTGAGGAGACAATAGATGAGTTGTCTGGAGCAGTCTTTACTTTTCTGTTCTGCCTAACCTGAAAGGAAAGGCAATAATAGATGGTTTCAGTCAATCTCAGAGGCAGAAGCTAATAAGATAAATCTTGCAAAAGCTGTCATGATACCAAATGAAATTAATAACATTTTGTAGCAACATCATGCCAGGCACTGGTATGCATTCACCTGGCAGAGAAATGAATGTCCATCAAAATGCTAACTGTCATCACATCTGCTTGAAGACAACAAATAGTGCACACAGGCACCCTGCTGACCAGAAAGCTGGGGAAGCCAAGCATTTATGTGTATCTGTACAACATCAGCGTGACCTCATTTTTTCTTAGGTGCCTGAAAAATTGTCACACACCTTTATGTAAATAAAAGAGCAATGTCTGACTCTTAACATATGAGGGCATTATTTGTTCTGTAATCAGTTTAGAAATTGTTTTACCCAGTCAGACTGAAATGACAACTTCCTTCAGCATTTTTGAGGTGTTCCCAAGGTTGAAGAAAGCAAGCTGCTTCTTCCCCATGGTCTTAACTGACAAGTCTAGGTAGTCTGTGGAACTGACCCGATGAAACTCCTATTTTTCTGTTGATTTATTCTTTTTTTTTTTTCTTAACTTTTTCTCACACATAGCTACTCAGATAAGAATTATTTTCTAAATATGTGAGATTTGCAAAACAGTAAGATAAATTGCTGAGAAATATCTGTTGTTTCTAGGTTGTCTTAAAAAAGCAGAGGAAAATATATAGGAAACTGCAAACCTTTGAGAATCTGTATGAATCTTCCATATGTGTTTGCTGTGTTTGATTCACCGTACGCTTTCATTTTAACTCTGTGTTGGAATTTCATCACTTTCCCTCTTCTTGTATACAAGGCAGCCTCATTTTCTTCCTCCAAACCATACATATGGTGCTAGCTGCCTGAGGGAATGGTGGGTTTTGTGTCACTTGGAGTCTCTCACTTAGGCTGGGTACCTTTCTAAAAGGTCTACTGTAGCTCAGGCTGGAGTGGTGGTTTTCTGTGTTATGCTAGAGGTTAAGTCTTCATACATAGCCCTGTTGTCCCTTCTGGCTGAAGACCCACGATTGTTTGAAATATCCTTGGAACTTGCTGTTTCAGCTAGCCTTTGCTTTCTGATGTTGGACCTTCCCACAGCAACTCACCTGATGTAGCTGTACAATTCCCAATATGAAATTGGTTTGTCCTGCACCCTGCTGTCAGGGAAAGTGCTGGGATCCTGTGTGATATTCTGAGAAGTCTCATATCATTGTATCCTGGTCTGTTTCCACCAATCTATCCCCATGTTGTAAATATATGTACATATACATTAATCACAATCTGTGCTTTCCATGCACAGCCAGACTTTTCTGAAAGGTACCTTTCCTCCCCATTGCTTCTACTTTTTATTTTCTTGGCTTGTGATTTGGTGTGTACCACTTTTTAGTCTGTTGTCTGGAGGAGGAGTAAAGTTTAATCTTGAGCCAGTATGGGCCTGAATTTACACCATTTACATATGTGCCAATTCCAATGCTTGAGATGTATGTAAGGCTAGAGTCTGTCTTTGTACAAATTTTGGGTGTATGCCCAAGATCCATGCTGTTTGCCCTGTGCAAATCTATTTGTGTTTAAAAGTTGTGATCCAGTGGCTTTAGGAAGTTGGCTGGCCATCCACTGGCAGCGTGGAGCAGAGCAATGACCCCCCTCTGCTTTGAGTTCCCTTTTGCTTCTCTAGCTCAGTGAGAGCTGAAAAGACAAGGGGTGGCCTGTTTGACTCCTTCGTGAGTACAGATCAGGAAGAAGGCCTTCATTCGTCCCCAGTCATCTGGTTTGGTTCCTGAAATAATGTCCATGGGCTCCCGAAGAGCCTGTTTTTTTTTTTGTTGTCTGTCTGCTTGGCTGATGGTGGTCCCAGGTCTATGCTCTCTGTATTCTGGGTGTAGAGAATAACACTTTTTTACCATGTGGTACATGCCAGGGACAGACAAAGTGAGCAATTGCTTTGAGTGACAGATCAGTACTGGTGGGAAAGAGGGTAAAAATACTGAGCTAGAATAAAGGAAGATGACAGGCACACAAGAAACAAACATAGTAATTAGAGTTCATGGCTGTTTTTTGGTATTAATGTGTATCTTTTTGACCTATTTCACACCTCTCTGTTCCTGTGTCTCCACAGATAAGGAGGGCTATAGACAGCTGAGAAAGCTGGTTTTGATGCAAAACTTTTTGGTACTGCTGAGCTGAAGGGAAGGGAACAGCCAAGGATGTGACTGAAGCTTACCATGTCAGCTTACTCTCTTCTGTATTACAGTCAAATCCTAATGTCAGTGAGGAGCAAATTCAGTGGGTTTGACCTATGTAGGTTTTGCACATTGTGCAATGTCAGTAAAACAAAATGAAAAAAGCAGAGACTAAAAAATAGTCCTTTTAAGAGAAAAATGTTTAGTGGGGTTTTTTTAAATGTCTTTTCCCTGCTTTATCCAGGACCAAGAAAGCTCTTTCCCCAGAGTACTTTCTGTTCAGAGGCTATCTCCTAGATGGTGCTTCCTAGATGGTAAGTGAATCTCCCTGCTCTTGTGCCTAGCATGCTGCTTGCTTCTAGTGTGCATGTGAAGGATAGTGCATCCGAGAGGAGCACCATGGAGGGGTAACTGTTGGTTCTTGTTACACTGAGCAAGTAAAAAAGGAGCCTTTCCCCTCTGAAAAATGAAACAGGCCCTTCATCTAGCAATCAGAATATCTGCTGTAGCATTGTCATCCCAAGAAGGCATGTTCTTCTAAGGGTGGTTAGAGATTTGCTTTATTAGTGTCTCTACGATGATGAGCAGCACTTACTCCATGGCAATGCCTGGACATGGAGTGCAGCTGGTTATAGCAACGTGCTGCTGCTGGTAAGGCTGCATTTTTCACTCTGGTTTCTCTTTAAGTGCTATAATGTTTAGGTACTATAATGTGTAGGTACTATAGCATTTAGGTGATGGAAATGTACCTGTACATTTCCTTTTCCTGTAAGACTACACTTCATGTACCTCCCTGGAGAACTACACCTGTGTTTGACCCAGACTTTGTCAAAGCAGACAGCTTATCTGGGTTTTACATCAGGCTCCAGAGCACTGGAATTAGCAGCTAAAATGGATAGCATCTGCTTTTGCAAAAGCTTCGATATGTGGGGACTGAAATTTTTATTGTTCTAAATAAAACAAATTTCTCCTTGGCAATTTCTAATCACTGTTCCTTTTCTCTCATGAGTGAAACTGATAAAAAACATACTGAGAATCTGTTTGTTTTTTGGAGAAAGCAGGTGGGTAGTTGCATTCAGTTTTTGTCTTTAGGGATTTGATATTCCTTTGCAGTGCCAACACCTACAACGCTACATCACTGTGTTTTTGTGTCAAAACTCCAGGATGATTGAATCTGATTTCACTGGCCAAACTAAATGCAAAGCAGAAACAAAAAAAATCAGTCTGATGAAACACATTGTAGGTAACAAAATACTTCTGGCTTTAGTAACAGAAATTATTTGACGTTGACAAAGTCACAATAATTCATATTAGGTGAATCTCCCTTATTTTCATGTATTTTTTGTGAGTAGCATAAATTTTCCTTGAGTGTATCTGTAACTCAGAGTGAATATCAGTGGCCATGTGTTTGATTTACTAAGAGTTCCTAAGCATGTTATTGTTCTTTAGATTCAAAATTTGAATTAATCCTATTAGACCCATCAATTTCACTGTATGCTTGTTATACTCTTGTCAGAACAATGCAGCTTTTTCTGTCACTTAATTTAATGTGATCAATTCTTCTTATAAGCTGAAATACATTTTATATTTTTAAAAATATTTATTTCAAGTTAATGATTTCAGTGAATATTGTTTTTTTAAGTATCACTTTTAAATTTCCCATTTAATGGGATAGGAATATGGACATAATGAATGAATCAGATTATGTTCTTGTGAAACCACTGTGAATTCACTGACACAGAGGTTGTCTTACATGGTAGTGATGTTAGCTCAGCCCATCTTATCCATGTAGTTCTGCTCAGACCATTTTCTTTACTGCACCTCTGTTGTTTCTCTGTCTTGCAGCAACTTCTGCGGATCGTTTTTACCGCATTGACAGATCTCAGGTAAATCCTTATTCAGTTACTGCTACTATAGATTTTTTTTTTTTTT